CTCATTGGCTCTACCACTTACAACAACGAGAACATCAACAGTAGCGAACAGCAACGCAAGATAAATAAATCCTTCCTAAGCTCCTCCAACCCGAGGCTTGTGACAACAAACTCAAACCACACTCTTTCAGATTGAGACCATCGTATCGATGTCCTTATAACGAACTTTTCCTTTCACTCTTTCAGGACCAAAGGTCCAACTACTATTCACGATTATTTCGATTGCTTTCATTTGTCCGACAAATTTTCACATACCCTGGATGAGCCTCTGACCTGTTGACGACCTGGAGTTCTTTGCTTTCTTTTTCCCATAACCGGCATCTTGTATATCGCTTCCTACTATCTCGACTTACCCAACTCTTCTTGGATTGGCAACATTTACTTTATCAACTACTACTACCTTCCTCGCTCCTGGCAGCTCTAGCTCTCTGTACAAGCACTCAAAAGGTTTCTCATCAATTTCTTCAAGAAGCATTCCGATACCCCTTTTCTCCCTTTCCAAATAGACATCAGGTAAGGGGGGAAAGAATATTATACAGCTTGTACGATCATTCGTGGTTACATCTGGTTTACTTCATCTCACCTCGATTATTTGTCTCACGTCGAGACAACGGTCATGGAATGCTTGAGAAACAAGTTTCAAAATGGCGTTTTGCTCGACGGGAGATTTCAAACACTCTCCCCTCTTAATCATGGATCTTTTGGAATGGTCTTTATGGCAAGGGACTTGCAAACCAATGAGCTCGTTGCCATCAAGTGCTTAACTAAGAAGGCAGCTGCCGACGGAGCCGGGATCGAATTTGCGGTCGACGAGAACTCCGAGGAGCTACTTTCCCACCGCCTACTAGGTGCCCATCCCAACATCGTTAACCTAATCCACTCGTTCGAGACCGATTCCCACATGTACCTTGTCCTCGAATACTGCTCGCGTGGTGATCTCTACGAGGCCATTCGCACTGGACTTGGCCCCCTGGAGACGGAACACGTCCGCCAGTTCATGATCGAGCTAGTCGACGCTGTTTCGTACATGCACTCGAAAGGGATTTACCACCGAGACATCAAGCCCGAGAACATCTTCCTCACCGAGTCGGGTTCGATGAAGCTTGGCGATTTTGGGTTGGCTACCACGGACCGATGGAGCTACGAGAATACGGTCGGGAGCGACAGATACATGTCACCTGAGCAATACGATTCGGCCGGGGCTGGATACTCGCCGGCCCAGGCTGACATCTGGGCGATCGGTATCTGCCTCCTGAACATTCTCTTTTCTCGAAACCCCTTCACTACTCCAACCGAGGCTGATCCCTTGTTTCTGGACTTCTCGCGTGACAAGCAATCTCTTTTCGATGTCTTCCCTACCATGTCCCAAGATACGTACGAAGTCATCGTCCAGTGCATGAATCTAGATCCTAAGAAGCGATCCTTGGTCGGTGCTAAGAGCGCCCTCCGCCGCGTTGTCAGCTTCACTACCCTCGAGGAGGCACTGGATGACTTCTGCACGACTGAGCGTTCGACTGTCGCCACCGCCAACCGCGAGCCGCTCCGGACTCCTTCGATCCAGAGCCCCCAGCTGGACCAAGGTGTCTTCCCGTGGGCCAAGGCCCTGCACGCCACCCAGCCTCAGGCTATCCGTCAACTCAGTGCTATCCCCGACGACGAGAGTTACACGGAGGATCTGTTCTCCAAGTCCGCGGCTACTACGGATTGGATGTCCGGTTCTGCTCTGACGCCTTCGATCTCGTCTGTGCTTACCTCCAATCTTGCGGCATCCATGAACTCGCTCAACGTGTCGCGACCTATGGATATGCCCGCCCGCACTGTTGCCAGGGCGTCTCCGATGACTAGCTCATTGCCCATTACCATGTCGAGGCCCAGGCCTACTCTTAGTGCCATGTCGATGGTGTTTGGTCGCCAGAAGGATGCCGTGTCTAAGAGCTGGAGCGACATGTGGGATGAGGATGTAGAGGAGGACGAAGAGGAGCGCGCCCGTCAACTACAAGCGCTCAAGGAGCTAAACTCTAGGACCTGGAGTCAGGAGAGCAAGGAGGCTACTAGGACTCCGCGGCAGGATCAGGTATCCTTGCGCCAGGCGCCAGCGTCTGATAATGAGAAGCCAGAGGCTTCGCCTGTGAACGATACCATTTCAAATGACATTGATGGGGACCTAGTTGCGGATGGATTTTTCTTTCACGAGCCTGTTGCTGTTGTACAGCCTGAGCACTTCTCTATTCGGTACTCGCCTCCGTCGAAGCGTAGCGGCGTCGACAAGTGGGCGGTCCTAGGGGAACGCCGCCGAGCATACGCAGGAGCACCGGAGCCCAAGTCGCCGGATTTTTCAACGAAATCCCGACGCCAGTTCGGTATCGGATTTAATACTTTACCAGGAGGAGGAATAGGAATTTGGGACCAGGCCAATCAGCAAAACCACAAATGGAATCGAGATCATCGCTCGGCATCACGCGAATGCCCATGGAACAAGGGTCGAGACTGGAACTGGCGTAAGGAGAGACGCCACGATTTCGGTGACGTCGAGTGGGTTGGCCACTGGCAGGAGGCTCATTAGAGCATTTTTCTTCTTTTTAAACTCCTAGCCGGTGTCGCCACTTGTAGTTGTGCTCATCTTTCCACCACCACACGGGATGTTTTCTTGTCTGACTCGGGATGTCGCCCTGCTTGCTGTTTTCTTTCGTTGTATTCTCTGCCCGCCGCGTGTTGTTCTTGATAATTAAGTTTGGTGGTCGCCTCCGAGCAGAGGAGACGAGGAGGTTGAAAAGGACGACGGCTTTTGCTTTTTCCCTCCCAACAGACAAGGTACGGGAGGGGAGGACGAGAAAAAAAAAATATGTTGGCTTTTTTGTTTTGGTTCTTGGTTGGGATCATGGAATCAATCATGATTATTTTTCGCAGTTTGGCAACAACAAAATTTCATGTTCGGCAGCAGCAAGCAAGCAACGACTTAGACACACGCACTCCCCTATTCACGCAGCAGAGCTTCCCGGTGGATTGATCTAGCGTCAACTCGCTCTCTAGGTATTAGATATCTCCAGATTATTGAAGAATACCAGAAGTTACCCACTCAATTATTTGGCCGGCTTGGTCTTGGTGATTTGTCTTAGTGACTATCTAGGTGTGATACTTCGTCCTTGGGTACCTGGGGACGTTGGAAGGTTTGTACGATTAGTGTTAGTATTAACTAGTATATATTATTGTAATAGTAATAGATCATACGTATATAGCTTCGCAAACTGTTGACTTTCTAGGTGACTTGGATAATTGTGCTGTGAATCTTTTGTCTTCTAATGTGTTTGTTACTACGTTACTGTTTACTGTCACGTCTGTATCCTGATTTGGTGTCTACTAGAGCGAGAAATCATTTCCGACACGCATGTTTATGAAAAGGCTTTTGCTAGTTGTAGTGATCTGTTATGATAGTGTAGTGTTACTTGGATTGGTTCACGGAATTAGATAATGTAGATAAGGTATGTCAGTTGGTATTCAACATCAAAGTCTTAGACACAGTCATCAACGCCGTAAATCGGCAAGATGAGTAACCCGGTTAGTCATCTCGGCGCTTCTCGGAAACATTAGGTGAGGTAAGGCTTCTATGTTCTAGAAACATTGATTAACTACCTAACTTACTGTAGATAATCCCGGCCGAACTTCCCCTGGGTACCCATGCTGGCAGAATTCCTTGTGCGGGTCTTTTGTTTACGACGAGGGCTATATATAGGTTAAGAGGTATGTACACTTCGCGATGGCTTGGCGATGACGAATTAGCGTCTAGATCCATTCCTGCGGCGCGGGTTATCCGAGACCATGGGAAGCTGAGGGAATGGCTTGTTCTGGAAGCTGGTGAGTTAGGAATGGACTAGGTTGGGCTACTTGTTTTGGGTTTGTATATATATTGGGTGGGACTTGGAGACGAGGTGGGATGGTATTAGCGACCTGAAACGTCCTGGATGGAAGGGATTTGCCGTGAGTCTGGGCTTGGGAATACGAGGGTTGGGATTGGGAATGGTTATGTTTTATACGTGGTGCTGTTTGAGTATCGCTAATTGGTAGATTGTTAAGAATTTGTGTGAGATTCCGGTGCTTGCTGTTGTTGCTGGAGTTTAGTCGGTCTAAATGTCTTGTTGACTGAATTAGGAAGGACTTGGGCCCGATAATTCATGGTATTAGTTCACGGATTGAATTTGCATCGATTCAAGAGTGAGGGATGAGAGGAAATAACATATGTCTCGAAAAGTATCATCATAGCTTTTGCCAGTGTCCATAAAAGATGTATTGCACTTAGTGTTATTGTACCGACCAGATGAAAATACATGAATTATGAGTTTGCGTAGGTGATACTGTCAAACCTTACAAGACGATCAGAAATAACTGTGTTTTATACCATTATAAACTTTATCATATTTATGAATATTAAACAATACAACTATCTTCTCCCTCTACCTTCTTTTAAGTATTAGAGCTTAATTACAAGGTTGCCCTGATGAAGAACCTTGAATTATCGTCATGCCCCCCTTTAATATTTAGACTCTTGTCTATATCTTGAGTTTAGTCTCCAGTAGTAGACCTCGGAAGGTGAGAATAAATGGACGGCTGCCCTAGATATGATAACATGTACTGCCCCTGCTTTTAGAACTCTAGAAGGTCTAAATAAGTCATAACCACGACACTGGGAAGCTTCAGTCTAAGTGATACCTATTCAGATCTCAACATCGCGCCTCCTTGCTCTTCAGAGCAAGCAGCTGCGGCATCTCATCTTGTGCACTTAGAATATATCGTCATGCATCGTTCCCAAGTAGATCATCTAGCCAGGCGTCCTCTTCGAATCAACTGGCTCAACTTAACTATCTACATTCTCTTGCCGGCTACAAACGAAACCAAACGAGTGACATCCTCAAATATACCAATCTTACCACTACTCTTACCGCGCAAGCAACCAATAATCAAAGCTAGAAATACAATTCACCCGGTATTATCATAAGACTACCAACTATGGATCACGACCATGTAATCACTATCGACCTCGGGAAGCCAGAGGAGTACGACCAATCTACCGAGGACATCACGCCGAGCCCAACGCCACGGCCGGCCTCCGATCAACGAAACCAGGGTCCTCGGTACGCAGCTTCGACCAAGTCCTGCTTCTTCTGCCGGAACACGCTTCTACTAAGCTACTTCAACTGCTGCGCCGTATGTCTCGGCACCATCGAGCGCAGCCAGAGCCGCAATAAGACCGACAACCATAACAACAACAGCAGCAGCAACAACGAAAGGCCAACATCAGACTCCCTACCCCTACCTGTCACGCAGTCCCGAGAACCCTCAGGATCGCCAACAACAACACCACCCCCCTATTCCTCCTCCTCCTCCTCCTCAGACACGGAAAACGACTACAAACCCCCCCACTGCCCCAGCCCCTACTGCCGATACACGCACGCCCGGCCGCTCATGCTTCTCTTCGCGCTCGGCGAAGCGGTCCCCTCGCTCGGCGGCCTGGCGCTGCTCAACGCGGCGCTGTACCGGCACGACTAGGCGCAGTTCCGGTTCGCGGGCATGCTGGCGCTGCAGTGGTGGCAGATCTTCGTGCTGCCGCGGCAGTGGGCGCGCGGCCGCTCCGTCGTCGTCGCCGGCCAGCTTGTCGCGTGCCTGTTTATGGTGTGGTTCTACGTCGATGGGAGCCCGAGTTGGAGGTGGTGGGAGCCGCTTGCTGTTAGTACGGTGTTGTTGAAGATTGTGTTTCCTTGGTAGGGGGGAGGGAAGAGAGCAGAGGAAGGAAGAAAACTGGTGTTATGAGTGAGTGACTGACTGACTGAGGCTGGTTGCTCGCTACTTGGGGCTGGTAGACTTACGATACGCACTTATACGGTGTTGGGTGTTTGCTTAAGGGGCTACGTACTAGTGACTGTATTCTTTTTCAAACGAAGACATGGATTAGAAAATCATGATTCTATTACTAGTCCCTGAGATGTCGTGTGGTCTTGGTTGTTTACTAGGTATTAACGAGGCCATATTAGGTAACCCTAACGTCTGTAGAGGGTGTTGAATAGGACAAAGTCCGAAGATGGTCGCTATGTTAAATACAAGCTCATACTAGTAAGTTTAATGTGTTACTATGAATGCAATTCCATTATAATACTGCGTAAATATCGTTGCTCATACTATATACAAGTTGAGTTATAGTTTAAAGAAATAAGAACACTCAACGCTTGCCATGTGCCTTAGCGAGTAATTTTCGTGATCTGATCAAGTCTTCGTCATCTTCATCGACTGTGGTTGATAATATCGCAACCACGCGCTCAAGTATCTCGATTGCATTCTCAATCTCGCCGGAATCGATATATGCTTTTGCCAGCTCTTTTTCCGATTGTAGTCGAGAAAGGTCATCTTCAGGCAATATTGCTTTGTCAACAGTGATAATATGCTTAAGCAGGTGAATTCCTTTTTTAAGCTGTCCATTCTCCAGGTAGGCGATTGCTAAGTTATGCTCCAAGGCGAGTAACTGTTTGTCGTCCTCTGCTAGCATCTTCTTATATAATGTTCTGACATGCTCATATAACTCGATCGCTTCTTTAACCCGGTTAGTCTTACGATACGCGTCGGCACACCGTTTTTGTGATAAGAGGCAAAAAGGATCGTCTTCTGCCAAGTTCTTCCTTATAATAGGTATAATGCGCTCAAGTATGCTGACCGTTTCCCCAAACTGGCCGTTTCTATAATATGCCACTGCCAGTTCATGCTCTGTTGTTAGTAGGTCGATATGCTCCTTCTCCAAAACTTTTCTGTCGATGGATATAATATCCTTAAACATCTTAATCGCATCCTCTGTTTGACCATTCATACTGAATGCTGATGCTAGCTGATGTGTTACTGATAATCGATCGGGGTGGTCTTCTGGTAATGTCCCTCGGATGACCGCAATACGCTCATATATCTTGATCGCCTTCTCAGCCTGTTTAGTGGTACTGTATGCTCCTGCCAATATGGATTGCATTTTCACTTGAGCGGGGCTCTCATCCTCAACCACCACCACGGGTTCCAATAACTCAATCGCGTCCTGATCCTGTCCTATTTCAACATATGCATCTGCTAAATAGGTCTCTAATGGGTGTGGTAGGATATTGTCTTGAAAATTGTGTTCTTTTCTCCACGCAAAAGCTTCACTTAATACTTTGATTGCTTCTCTAAATCGTCTGGCGTAGTTGAGATACGCTCCAACGTTGCAAGATAATTCATATATCTCCCTCGTTTGGCAATCTCTATTTTCTTCAAGCAAACGTAAAGCATGTGGCATATATTCTCTCCATAGCTCATCTGCTAGGTCTTCGTATGACAGAATCGGCGAGAGATAAGTAATCGCGTCGGTTCTTATTCGTTTTAGGTCATGGTCCTGCAACCATGCTCGTATCGCTATATGTACCAGCCTATGCATATCAAACATAGAACCATTCTCTTGTCGAGTTATAAATGCGTACCCCAAAAGTGTACCAATCGCATGTTCGAAGTCCACCTCCGGCTGTTGGGCGGGTAAAAGCGATTGTGGGATAGCTTTCGGATCGAGGCAAGCCATAAACGAGAACGTCTTTGCTGCGATGGGATCGCACTGTCGAATTTGTTCAAAAGACACAGTCCACGTCTTTAGAACTGCCCGGGGCATATCTAGGGTATCGTCATAGAAAGCCCGTTCCATTAGGTTAACGATGTTCCGTTCTTCACCCCGTAACAGGCCAAGGTACTTCTCGACTGACATCATATTCTTGTTCATATATGAAGCGGCCTGTACGATGGCAAGGGGAAGATACGTAAGTTCCTTAACTAGTTCCTCAATTATCGTTTCATTTTGGTCGGGCTGATCTGCTGTCTTATATGATCTGAAGAGACTTTTTGCCTCTTCGGGGTTCATTTCTCCGAGGTCGATCACGTTGTTTATCGCTACGTCCACGGCTACTTCTCGTGAGCGTGTGGTGAAGAGGGTTAAGCCGTGGTTATTTTGAGGTAGGTATTTGATCATACCAGTTGAATCGTTCGATCGAAATGTTGCTTCGTGATCGTCCGCATTATCGACGATTAGAAGCCACTTCCCGGCATTCTCGGAGCTGAGATGTTGCTTTACCAGTATTTTCTGGTCCTCTTCACCGGATATCTGAAGCAACTTGGCCAAGCCCGCATACGATTGCTCAAAAGTTGCTTGGCTCTGTGCTAGCACCCAGAAGACAGAATACTCGGGCTTGCGGTCTCGCAACCGGTACGCGAACTCCAGGGCCACTTGGGTTTTCCCGACACCTCCCAGGCCAAGAACTGCCAATTTCCGGCGTTTCTTGACGAAAAAGTGGTTTTCGATTTCTTCTAGAATTTGGTCTCGACCGCCAAAAAGTTCATTTCTGAGGTGCGGAATATGATAAAGGGATTTACTAGCGATATCTTGGTGAATACTTTGAGGAACACCTTAAAGAATGTCAACAACTGTAAAATTCAACTAAGCATATTGCTAAAATGTACTAACTCCTTTGAAGGCCCCCAGCGATGAATAGTTGGATGACCCCGGAGATACTGTCATACTGTTGGTCTGCCCTGTTGCTGCACCTTGCCATCTGCATATGGTCTGCATCAAGTGTCTCAACTACTTCGAGCGTTTCCGGTAAGTCGACTTTTGAAGAATCATCGTTCACCACCTAAAAATTGGGCGGATTGTCAGTTGATGATACTTTCGACAGTTTAGAGTTAGGTAAGATATACCTTGCCCTCGAGTCCTTTCACACCTGATATGCCTCTCGCTTCCTGGAATGAGTGAATCATAATACCCTTTTCACTAACTTTGTTTTTGAACTGGAAGTGAATATTGTCGAGGACTTCGCTATTAACTTGTAGAGTCCTGACAATTTTCTTGTTAGAGTCATGTAGGGCAAGTGCGGCCAGGTTTGATGCGATAGTTCCCCATGCTGCCGCCGGGGTACCTCGGTGAGGTGTCCCAAGGAAAATAATGAGCTTCGTTTGTGAACTACAGATATTTGATCTCCATATTGCCTAATTTTATTAGTACTAATGTTACGTCGTTCTTTCTCTGGTTATTCGTCTTACATCTTTGACGATAATTCCGCCGAGGCTGTGTGCAATAAATATGATCGGTTCGTGGAATCCCTGGAACTGTCAGCCTGATAAGGTCTGCCATAGTTGGGGTAGAGGGATGTTGGATTACCTTGCCCTTAATATTGCGCTCAATCCGGACGGTAAAATCTTGACCGTGTTGCGATATGCTGTTCTTATTATTTGCTTCAAAGACCCCAATGACATCGGCGTTATACCCGTATGTCCATACTCTCGCCTTGGGGAAATCCTCTGCGAGATAGTCTCGTGGCCAGAATACCTTATGCTGTTTCGACGAGGTCCCATGGTTTTCGTTTTCTTCTTCTTCGTTCGATTTTTCATTGTGAGCCGATACAAGACTTGTCAGGCGTGAAATTCGCTTTGAGATCTTGTCTCGTGTTGTGGGCGCAGCTTGTTTGCCTTTTTCAGTCGAGTTATCTTCCCAAGTTGTCTGCGGGTGACCCCTTAACCCGTGTACAAGAATAATGCTAAAATGGTCTGATTAGATCGATAAAAGCCTTAATCACCGTTGTCATCGCGTAGGAAACATCCATATTACGTACTTGACTTCGCATGATTCACTTGCAGGGCTAGAGAGTTGCGTGAGCCCGTTGCGACGTATACTATGGTCGGGCATGGGTTAGGTATGTAAAAATAACTAAAACAGAAGTAAGATAATCGTAAGGTCTAATAGAGTTGCTTGTCCTCAGATAAGGCTAATGCTATGAAACTTTAGAGCATCTTAAGGTTGGATAGTGCTATCACAAGGCGACGCCTGCCTTTTCTTGAGGGATTGATTACCTTAAGGCTGAGCAGTGCCGTCACGAGGTAATGCCCTCTGCCTGCCTTGCCTGAACGAGTTGTCCCGATTAAGGAAAAGAAGGCGTTAACTGCAATTATGGCTTGCTTATTAGGTATTGATTACCTACCTAGGTACCTAAGGTATATGGTGTTACCTCATATGTAATACCAGGACATTAATCGTTTAACCCAGTTTTGTTTCCCGCTTATCTAGTAACTACGCCGCCCCAATAAGCTTCTTGGGCAAGAAAGCCCATACAGTCCCGATGACAGAGAGGGTCAAGGATATGAGCATGACAGTCCAAGTAAAGATGCGTTCTCGCGCCGAGATCTCATGCCCGAATAGCTTCAAGTAAAAAGCCAGAGGAAGCCTGCGAATTCATTAACCGCCATATTCTCCAAGAGCCTAGCGTAGGTAGAAGAGTATCAACACTTACGTAACACATATAGTAAAGCAGAGAGCGCTCCCCATGAACGCCATGATGGTGTCGAATGCCGGGAAGAGAATAGCAATTGCCAAGAAGACGAAGAGCGTAAAAACTCTGATGAGAGCTTTCAGCACCCCCCTCGAGCTGCTGGAGAGCCCGACGAGGGGTGTTTCCTCCGCGACGACTTGTTGCCGAAGACCGAATAAGACTTCCAGAATTGTGACGATCGGTTGAGAATTCAGAGGGATCTTAGTCAAAGGAATAATTGCGATGAAGATCACAAGGGGGACGTTTAGAACGTCGGGATATCCCGTGGCTTCAAGGATATTCCCCGTGATCTCGTCGCGGACTCCATCGCCAAACATTAGTAGTCCTACAACAGCTATAGCAAAATCTATTACCAACTACAAGTTGTTAGTTTTAGGTACTTATCGAGTTCGTTGGTTAGGGCCATCGAGACTTACAGTGAAGCTAAACGTGTATCCAACCGCCTATTCAAATATTAGCTAAACCCACTACTGATAAATTTATTATATTTACTCACCTCCCCAAAGCGGTGGGGATGACGCATGTCACGATAGATCTGAATTTGAGTTAGATGATTGATCTCTTATCCTTAGTCAAGATGGACCTACGTTTGGGAAAACACCGTGTCCACCCCATGGAGACATGAGTAATCCAAAGGACAGAGGTAAAGTAAGCCAATTAGCAGGGAACAGATATGTCTTCGCAGGCTCTATAAGAGAACCAGGCGAGTGCGGTTTAATCAACCCGTCAAGGATGACGATGGTGACAACTAGACCATTTTGTGAGTATTTCAACACTGGCGGCGGGTTTGCGGAGGACTTACTGCCCAGACACGAGACCACACCAACAAGGCTAGTAACAGATAGAAAGGACAGTGGAACGAATTGCAGAGGTATGAGGATCAGAGTACAGACGATCTTCCACTCAGTCACACTTAGTGTACCCGGAAACAAGAGTGCTAACGAGTCGGCAAATAGTACTATAAGAGCCACACAAGCAGCAAGTAATTCCAGAGTGAAGAGCACTGCTGTCATGATGCGCGCTTTCCTGCCAAAGCAGGTATACGCTATGTCGGAAAAGGTGATTGTGCTAGGGTCGTGATCCATGCATCTTGATAATATTCTCGCCGTCCAGCTGGTTAGTGCGGCACATAGAAACAGCGCAATAAGCCCACAGACCCAACCAGCATACTTCAAACCCATGGGCAGACTCAGTAAGCCGACACCGATCAGGACGCTATGTTTGAGATTTAGCTATGGGTCTCCAAAGAGAAAGAGGGGCTCACTCACTTAGTAGAGTTCACAACCGTTTGTGGTAGAGTTGATTGACCGGCTACAGCTAGCACGAGCCTCCCTTCTTGCTCAACCTCTTTTACAAGGATGGACGGCCGTTCGCCATCAGGCATATCTGCTCCTGATTCTTGCTGCTGACGCCATATGTCTGCGGCATGGATCATGGAAGAATGAGCAGCCGACTGGACAGTACCATAGCTTCGAACGGACCCGTAACTACCAACCAGAGGAGAAACAGAAAGGTGCGGCGGCACGGAGAATAACGAATTGCCACGAGGGGAACCGGACGGTGATGCTACTCGGTATAATTCGCTGTCCGAGCGTTTTCGCTCGCCCTCCGGTCTATCTGTTCTTGATGAAGGCGTTCCAGCTGGCCCGGGCTCCTCGTTGTCGATACCGAGGGGCGAAGGAGCTTCAACATCTTGTCTTAAGGGAGAAGCTCTGGGGCCCACTTCGAGGTCGCGCCCGGCGTACGGATTAGGGTCGACTGACTGAACGGGCTCTTGATCTGGCGCAAATACAAAGGTCGGGTGTTGCGGTAAGATTTCCGGAAAGGCAGCGGCTCGTTGCCAACTTCTCCCAAAAGACCTAATACTATTGACACCACCAATATCGGCCACCGCAGCAAGACGATTCGTCATAGATGACCTGTAGGAATAGATACAATTAGTCTAGGCGAAGGCGAATCGATGGCAGGTATGCCAACCTTCGTCCTGCTCGTCGCGGGTGTTCCTCATCATGCCCTTGAGCATCCTGGTCACTTAATAATGCTTGGTCCTCAGAGCGAATACTCAGATTACTGATAGACAACAGACTATCGCTTCGGGTGGGTGAAGCCCCGCGATCGTATTCATCCCAGGTTGTAGGCTGCCTCGCAGCCATGTCTATATGTTAAGTCCACAGACTAAGAGGAGAAGAATATTCGAAATATTACGAGACGAAAATATATAGAAGAGGGTCAGTAATTTAAATATTTGACGGAGAGATTATCAACGGCACCTCAGCGACTAAAGGTGTGGAAAGCTATGTTAGCTCTTCGCCCTCAGTATAGACTACCTAGCTTCAATCGAAGGAGATAGAGGAAAGACTTGGTCAGAGATACTATTAGAAATATCGAAAAGATAGACGCAACCATGCGCATACATATATACCCCAGACTACGCAGCTACCTTGCTTTGATAACGGTGGAGCCAGTGTGCAGAAACGATGGATTGTTATGGTGTTGAAGTTATTTATTAATATTATACTCGGCTAGTACGATGACTAGTCAGTCTGATACTTGGCTTGGTAGGAAATACATGTACTTGCCGACGCGGAGAACAGTCCCATGATTTAAGCTTTTGCACCTGCCCGTGTTAGACGAGAGCTCAAACTACCATTTGTAACTCATAGGTAGGTACATGTATCTAGGCCCTCGGGGAAGTAGGGAAGTCACTGCTAACCCATCATCGATGTTTCCATCACGCCACGTTATTGGACAATGGATTCAATGTGGGGAGTGGTACAATCCCTTTTTGATTTTTAGCATGAGAACAAGGCTGATAATGTCACACAAATTACATACGAACATCTACCTCTTGCGAGGAAAAAAAAAATTTCCTACGTCCTGGTGATGCCCGCTAATTTTGCACAGCGAAACATCGGAATCTATCGCTTCTCGTCGGGCTAAATTACGGGAGTATCACTGGAAACTAACAGCAGATGCTGGAAATTTCGTGCGGCACTGCACGCAACGTAACTCTACTCGCTCGGGGAAGATCTTACCGTTGGGTGTTTTATTTTTCGAGAGTGAGATAAGATCGCGCGGTTACGTGACGTCATTTCGTACTGTATGGGGTAAGAGGTTGGATCAGATATTGGCATGCTGCAAGCAAAGTCATGCGCCGCAAAGCTTTTAAGGTCTGTCCGAACCATTGCCTCCTATAGCGGGTTACAGTGTGATTGGCCTGTTAAATAAATAATTGCATACTGCCTATGAGAGGTCGGGTCGTCTAGTGTAAGTGCAACGTCCAAGTACGGTCTCAGGAGTTGTAATAGAATTGCTTTTCGTCAAATTTTACGTTTCCGGTGTCACTAAATACTAGCGTTGATCTGAGGGCTTATTAACTAACGCAAGGGAGAATTTGCAACTCGACCAACATATATCTTTCAAGTATCGATCGGTCGTGCTCGTTTCTATTGACGAGTATTAGCGTCTAACGGACCGAACGTGCTCTATTGTGTTTTACAAAGCTCTTTGATATCCATGCATAGCACTTTGGTAAATAGACTAAAATACTGAAACCGTTATATGTAAAGCCTTAAGTAGTTAGTTTAACGAATGGACCATACTACTCCAAGATGACTCAACCATATATAGATGGCGGAACACTAGCTGGCTGGAATTAGTCTGTGGTCGACGTGCCCCTCTTAGACAATGTTGCGTTCTGCCGTGTTCCAACTTATCCATAAGCTGAAGAGGCTACGTTATCTATTGGGAACTTGATCAATAGGTAGTCATCCTGCTTCTCTGAGAGGCGAAATATGTATGTACTATATACGAAGGTAAGACGAGGTGGCCACTTCTACCAAAAGGACAGGACTTGTGAGGCTCTACTAGGTACATACCTAGGTATGTAAGGAAAAGAGTTACAAGCCTTGCAAAATGCTTCGCGTTTTTGAGAATACCTACCTATCTAATGCACTGCTAACTTGAATGGAGAATGCATGCACATTCTTTGTATATTTAGGTGTTTACAATTAGGTTGTCTTATACAATTAAGTATACATTGCAAATCAGAACTCCATGCTGGAATATTCTACAGTAGGTACCTAAGAACTGAACTCCTAAGAAAGCTGTGAATTAAGTGAATTAGGTAAGTCAAAAAGACCTCCAAGGTTGCCCACGTATGCAGGTACAGTGCCTGATTGCTTGATTGCGTAGCGAGTTGTCTGCCTGTCGATAAGTTATCAGTTAGTAAGCCCCAGGCAAGCAATCTGGCTTGTTCAACAAGTCAGGCTGTGGAAGTGATTGGAAGATGTGGCGGCCCTAGGCTAGGTAAGCCCCACTTGGTCCGAGCTCCTTCCACCTCTCGTCATCACCAACTCAAACAACTCAAACAACTACGACCGTAAGAACATCCAAACTCCGAACTTGATCATCTTCCATTTTCACCATCTCAGGTCATCTCGTAACCCTTTTCCTTTTCCAACTTAGAGATAACCACCATCTCTAATAATTCTCGCTAAGGATCGAGTTTCCTTTGCGAATTTCTCTGCATAAACCCCCCCCACCTACCTTTCTTTCCGTTTGGTTCTTCCCACAACTTCCTCCAACCCACCCCAATCCCGACCTTTACCAAATACCTTCATTTATTCATCAAACACCATGGCACCCGAGCCTGAGCACAAGAAGAAGGTCAACTTGGCGTAAGTTTTCTAATAATGAGAAAAATCCCCGCAAACTGGGATCTAAACTAACTTTACTACTAGCGACGTCTCTGGCTCCGAGCCTAAAGAGGAGAATGACACCTCGACGGCCATCCTCAAGAAGAAGAAGAAGCCCAACCAGCTGATGTATGTATTCCCTAGCTAAATAGTCTAGCTGGTATTTATTAACTAATCTGCCTAGGGTTACTGATGCCGTCAACGATGACAACTCTATCATCGCACTTTCGAACAACACTATGGAACAACTCCAACTGTTCCGTGGAGATACAGTCCTCGTTCGAGGCAAGAAGAGAAAAGACACCGTCTTGATCGTCCTTGCGGACGATGACCTTGATGATGGCAGTGCCCGACTCAACCGAGTTGTCCGTCACAACTTGCGGGTAAAGCACGGCGATATTGTCACCATCCACGCGTGTCCTGACATCAAATATGTGCGTAGCTTGTGCCCAATGAAATCCTGATTAGATAACAAAGTACTGACCGATCAATAGGCCAAGAGAATTGCGGTGCTTCCCATCGCCGACACAGTTGAAGGTCTGACTGGTTCGCTCTTCGACGTCTTCCTTGCCCCATACTTCCGAGAAGCCTACCGACCCGTTCGTCAAGGCGACCTGTTCATCGTCCGAGGTGGTATGAGACAGGTGGAGTTCAAGGTAGTTGAGGTTGATCCTCCCGAGTATGGTATTGTTGCGCAGGATACCGTGATTCACTGCGAGGGTGAACCTATTCAGCGCGAAGAGGAAGAGAACAACCTCAACGAAGTTGGCTACGATGACATTGGTGGCTGCCGCAAGCAGATGGCACAGATCCGAGAGATGGTTGAGCTGCCGCTGCGTCATCCTCAGCTCTTCAAGTCTATCGGTATTAAGCCACCTCGTGGTGTTCTGCTTTACGGCCCCCCGGGTACTGGTAAAACCCTCATGGCTCGTGCCGTCGCCAACGAGACCGGTGCCTTTTTCTTCCTGATCAATGGTCCCGAGATCATGTCCAAGATGGCCGGTGAATCGGAGTCGAATCTCCGAAAAGCATTCGAGGAGGCGGAGAAGAATTCCCCAGCTATCATCTTCATCGACGAGATCGACTCTATCGCTCCTAAGCGAGATAAGACAAACGGCGAGGTTGAGCGACGTGTAGTTTCTCAGCTCCTTACCCTCATGGACGGCATGAAGGCTCGATCCAACGTTGTCGTCATGGCAGCCACCAACCGACCTAACTCTATTGATCCTGCCTTGAGACGTTTCGGCCGTTTCGATCGCGAAGTCGACATCGGAATTCCTGACCCCACTGGTCGTCTTGAGATTCTCCAGATTCACACCAAGAACATGAAGCTCGGCGACGACGTCGATCTCGAGCAGATTGCGGCGGAGACTCACGGTTACGTTGGTTCTGATATTGCTGCCCTTTGCTCAGAGGCTGCTATGCAGCAAATCCGAGAGAAGATGGATCTCATCGATCTTGACGAGGACACCATCGATGCCGAAGTATTGGACTCTCTAGGCGTCACTATGGAGAACTTCAGATTCGCCTTGGGCGTGTCGAACCCGTCTGCCCTCCGCGAAGTCGCAGTTGTCGAGGTTCCCAATGTCCGCTGGGAAGACATTGGAGGTCTGGAGGAGGTCAAGCAGGATCTCAAGGAGAGCGTCCAGTACCCTGTCGACCACCCCGAAAAGTTCCTCAAGTTTGGTCTTTCTCCGTCCCGTGGTGTCCTATTCTACGGCCCGCCCGGTACGGGTAAAACCATGTTGGCTAAGGCCGTTGCCAATGAATGTGCGGCCAATTTCATCTCAGTGAAGGGCCCCGAGTTGCTGAGCATGTGGTTTGGTGAATCCGAGAGCAACATCCGAGATATTTTCGACAAGGCTCGTGCGGCTGCTCCTTGTGTCGTCTTCCTGGACGAGTTGGATTCGATTGCCAAGGCTCGTGGTGGATCTGTTGGAGACGCTGGTGGTGCTTCGGACCGTGTTGTCAACCAACTTCTAACCGGTAAGCTTCCCTAAAAGGTTTCTTTAAAGGTTGCACTGCTAACATCATCAAATAGAAATGGATGGTATGACCTCCAAGAAGAACGTCTTCGTCATCGGAGCTACGAACAGACCTGAGCAATTAGATCCGGCCCTGTGCCGTCCGGGTCGTCTCGACTCGCTAATCTACGTACCATTGCCCGACGAGGCTGGTCGTCTCAGCATTCTCACGGCCCAGCTTCGCAAGACCCCGGTGGCTGCCGACGTCGACCTCAACTATATCGCATCCAAGACCCACGGGTTCTCTGGTGCTGATCTCGGATTTATTACCCAGCGTGCAGTCAAGATTGCTATCAAGGAGTCCATCACCATCGACATTGAGCGACAACGTGCTCGCGAGGCTGAAGGAGCCGGTGACATGGACGTCGATGAAGATGTTGAGGACCCTGTTCCTGAGTTGACGAAACGCCACTTCGAGGAGGCTATGCAAATGGCCCGAAGATCCGTCAACGACGTTGAGATCCGCCGATACGAGGCTTTTGCGCAACAAATGAAGAATGCCGGACCCGGTGCCTTCTTCCAGTTTCCTGCTGCCAATGCCGGCGCCGCGGGCTCTGGAGACAACTTCGGCCAGGCTGGTGACGATGACGGTCTTTACGACTAAGTCGTCAGCTATTCAGCGGTTGGATACCATCTCCTCACACCGACCCTGTACTCTAATTCCTTTGCTTACGATGCGTCTCAACATTAATGACAACACAACGCAACACTAAGGATGTCGACCTCGAACCGATATCCCTTTGGTTGGTCGTTGAAGGAATTCGCATATCTGATAGACTTAATCCCGTCAGAGTGCTAGGAACGGGATGCGGCTGCTTTTCCTTGCGCGATCAGAAGCATGGCTGTTTTGTCTCTTGCTTTGCTAGAGATGCTTCATTCTGGCTGGGATGAAATATAGTAGCCATACGCATACCGTGCTGCGGTAAGCAAATTAGTTTTACGATAGATCCACAAATTGATTTTGCACTGCCCTCAACTGCGCCTTGGCCGTGTCTATACTCTTGAATAACAGTGTAACTATGTATTTATATGACATGATGAGACCTGAAGGTCCATATCAGCAACCATGACTCGGAAATTTCCATTCGATGGTTATAAGCCAATTCTTAACTTGGATCGTACACGACTAACAGCTATATTAATGGCACAGCATTCACAACACGTAGTTATCACTAAAGCGCCGGGCAAGTACACGAAGAGGTCTGGTTGAAAATGGTTGAGTAGTAACTATCATTGCTGCGGATCAGAGCATCAAAGGTGCCCCAGATATTCCTTGCTCGCCTCCTTCGTACACTTAAATATAAATCAAACCCGAGTTGCTAACGCCAATGCTCCCTTTCCGGCCCCCCCCCATGCCTTGTTCTGATAAAGTAGTAATCGTGTAGCAAGAAGAAAAACACACTCCCGTCCCCCTACTCCTACTCCTACTCCTGCCCCTGGGATCTTTCTATTCGGACACGCATATGGACACGGCCTCGGGGAGAGGAGCGTGTGTGTACCTATGTATGTGTATATTACAGCTCCTTCGTACTAGGCGGGTAGTACAACGATACGATATGATACGATACGATACCCCTTGACTACCGAGGTATCAGGCATCAATCAAGGTGTCGGGGCGTCGTTATTCGTTCGTTTATTTAATTTTTTGTTCTTTCTTTTCGTTCTTCCCGTGGCGGCTTCCATCGCCATCGCCATCGTCACGACGCCGCCATCCTAGATCCAAAACGCGGATCCGACGCCCCCGTCATCAATCAATCGCAGCCGCACTTCTTAGCCGGCCGTCGACCCGTCGTCGACTTCGCACACGGTATCGAGGCACTCGCGCGCGACCTTTAGGACGGCGTCGACGACGGCTTGGGGCACGGCTAGGCTGCCGTCGGTGGTGGTGGTGGTGGTGGTGGTGTTGGTGCTTGCGCCGTTGGTCTTGGTGCTCCCGTTGGTAGAGGTGGTGCTGTTGTTATTGTTGTTGTTATTGTTGTTGGTATTAGAGTTGGAGTTGGTAGTGGTGTTGGTGGTGCCGTCGCTAGCCGCGGCGGTGTCGTGCCGCACGTCCTCGAGAACCCGCCGGACTAGCGCGGGGAACGTCGTCACGTCGCCGCTGCGCAGGAGCGCCAGCGCGTGCGACTGTACTGCGGACGGCCAGTTGGAGGGGTGCGCGTTGAGCGAGTGCAGGAAGTGCTCTTGGATTCTGTCGGGTGAGGTGCCGTCTGTCAGCTAGCTAGTTTCCTTCTTTCTTTGTGGCGGGGAGAGGAGGGGAGGGGAAGGGAGAGTGAGAGAGTGAAGATTGGGGGCGGGTGAGCGGGTGAGCGGGTAGGTGGGCGGGCGTGCGTACTTGTTTATGTGGCCTTCCCGTATGAGAAGCGCGTTGATTTGCGATCGCAGGTCTTGGTCCTGCGTAGCGGGCGTATATGCGGCCGCCGACGCGGGAACCTTTACGGGCGTCTGCGACATGGCTGTGTATGCGTATACGTCTATCTATCTGTCTGTCTATCTGTCCGAGTGGGCGGGGCAAAAAAGGCCTCTTGTAGATAGTTTCCCCTTCGAGGTAACCAGCAAGCAGGAGTTCCGAAAGAGAAAAGAGGGCAGGTAAAATAAAAAAGTGTTGGGGTCGCTCGGATATGCGATACCTAATACGACGGTTCCCGAAGCTTGTGGCGGTTTTTTTTTTTTTTTTTTTTTGGAGGGATGGGTGGACGGGTCGAGGCGCTGCGGCGTATGTGAGTATTTCTGTGTAGCGTATAGAGCTCCTACGACGTCTTGAGCAGCGCTGGTGCGGGCGACGAGGTATGGTATGCAGGAATTCGTCGCGAGGGACTGATACCTGGAGGAATTGGAAGGTCGAATGGCGAGGCTGACAATTATCCGGAAAGTTTGCCTGAGGCAAGGCTGAAATGAAATAGCTTCGTAAATAAGTGGATAGCTTTAAAAGGTAAGGAGACTTGAGCTGTGTGGGGGCGCTAGACTTGGTTAGGTTGCCAGGGATCCCCGTTGTAAGCCGGGGGTAAGACTCGGCGTTGGTTGGTCAGTCTGTTCGAAGAGATGTGGCTGGTGCGTTACTATATTGGGCTAGAACCGCCTTATGTAGAGCCTCCTCGATCATATTCGAATCCGGTATTGATCGGAGCCTTAGTCTTACATACATAGTAACTCTAGAACTCGTACCTACATACATATATTAGTGCATCTATTGTTACTGTTCGCGGTTTTAATGCTTTGTTCAAGTTCGAACATAAGTCTTATAGGTTAGAAGGAATTAACTATATATAGAGTTGCCTGAACAGGCACATAGTCTTCATCTACATGTATTGATATACTTATACTAAACTAACGCTGTATGCTACTTATAACATCTAGCTTGGGCTTATATACTCGTATATTGAGGATATATTTCACCTCAATCATGACAAATTTTTTATTCTATCTTTAACGTTTAGCTGTAGCCAATGCAGCGACGGCGGTGGAAGGGAATTTTAGTTGGTTTTAATATCTACCATTGTGAAGCCCAATTGATACATTGCCAGTCTGTGTTGAAGTGAGAGATAGGATTGTTCTATGAGAGTTTAATTTAACCCGGGTAAGCCTACCCTCTTCTTCATTAGGCCGAGACGATATTTTGATCGATCAAACGATTTGTCTATTTCTATCTACGCGCGATTTCCGAATCAAGAATATGTACGTATTCGGAAATGATGAAATAGGCAAGGTGAGCGCAGGCCGCGCTAGATCCAAAGTCCTTTCTTGTCCATGACACTTTCAGTGACTTCGATTGACTTCGATCCCAAGTACCACCAATGTATTCAAATGATATCAAGGAAAAAATCTCTCAGCTGCATGCGAGGCCGACTCTACATTCAGTGCCGTAGTGCCCAACGGTGTTGCGACGTTATAGAATGCACTCGGGTGCAGATTTGCCGGTATGTTGGCATGCCGGTCGGTATAAGTGATATAAGTGATATATTGTGATGAGCAAATCCCACAGGAACAACTCATATCCACCATCTACTTGAACCTCAAATCCCGAGGCTTCAGGTTGGGTCGCCGTTCGGGCCGGAGTCAGCAACTCGAAATGAACATGTCGCAATTACTCACGAGTTACTCATGGCCAATTCGACTTTGTTGGCATCGAGTCAACGAATGCTTTCGGGGCGTGGCCTCGATTTTGAGTTGGTAGATAATGTTCTACACCGACTATTACCTGTGTTGTCTATTATACGGATGCAGTGTATGTAAAGTAAAGATCCTTGCATTTACTCGGTGTGTGGGCAGCGAATCAGAGCAAGCCGGATCAGCCGCGAGTTCGATGTTATTCGCTAATCTTGCTTGAGATAGGTTTCTCGCCGCAGCCACGCTAAAGGGGGGCGTGGGGAAGCTCAAATGACCGATTCTCTGCCGCGTTGGGCTCAATCCCCGTAAAAATAAAAAAATAAAAATGATAAGTGATCTAGCGTATCTACCTAGGTATCCATCCTAGTCAACATGACGGTTTTGTGATGCGCGCCATCAACGACGCGCCGGTAGATGGTCGACATCAATACTGGAAAAGTCGGTCTAGAAGACACTCTTAGCGATTGCGGTTACAGTTGTATATGGCCTTCCGGGATATCTCGAAGACGATTGGTCGTCTAGATAGGCTCCTCGCAGCCCCATCGCTTGCTGTGATCTGCGCTAATCCATTAGTGTATCCATTCTGCTGTTGTTACGACAAGCGTTTCTAAGTATTATAATGGCCTTCCTATCTAAGACACGCATAGGCCTGAGGAACTCGACGTACCTTTTCATTACCGTCTCATCGGACTGGGGCCGCTTACTCTCGACGATGAGAGGTTCATAGTCCGTTTCGCTTCGTCTTTCGCCCTGCATGACTCTCTTCTTTTTTGGAACTCTCCCCGGCGCACTAGAAGAGAGCCAGGTGTTCAAATGTCACTAAATGACGTCTGTTTTAAAAGGCTACCCGCGGATTAGAGCACCGGCTAACGGCGCCTAGCAGCAACCTCAACTCTAGTCCACCTTTATTATGGGGTCTTGTCGTAGGTCTGTCTAGCATGGTGAACAATTGCGAACTGACCCCGAAGTATCTTCCAAGTACCAACTCGGTACGTATCACTGTCATCCATCGGGATTAGAATCTTGTATAGTCGATACACGTACGCCTGTGGCCTTCGACATTATCGTATTTTGCTCTTGTGATTCTCGCTAAACGCAAACGCGGCTCGGGTAACTGCGTAGACTTGAGTTGGGTTATGGCCTGCTGAAGTAGTTCAGATGTGAAAGACCACCTCGAATCGTCCTCTTGCCCCGACAGGCTGCTGTTTGATAGGCAAACGCGGAACGCACGGTCAGATGGTGCCGAATAGTCATATCATAAGATGCCGGGCTTAGGTAGGATATTGTTATCCCAAGTAACACGACTTGCACAACTAGTAGGACAGGGGCGGATCCGATCTGTCACGCGCAGCCGTCCTCGAATCTGACAGCGAAGGCACGATTGGGTGCTGCAGACGTACGACCAGTTATATGCGGTGGTGGCGCCTCCAGGTTCTAGTGGTAAGCATTGTCGGATAGGGGGTAGCGTGGCAGCTCCTTACAAAGGTGGTATTTGGTCCTAAGTACTGGAACGCTGACAAGACCGATCTAGCAGCAGTGGTGCCCCCCACGATTATATTATCCGATCTTAGCCTGGCAGATGCCCCCGCGTCAGGTTGTCGTCTTCTGAGCTCCTGAGTGGACTGGGCCAGATGCAAAACGCATGGCCCAGGGTCCTACCCAAGATCTGGGGGGTTGCAATATGCAAGTGTCGGTATGGATGTGGCGCCGGCTGGTCCCGGAGGTTGCAGGGGGTCAGCCACAGAGGTGCAAGAAAGGCAACATGACCAGCCAGGGCCGCATAGGGGGCTACCAGGTTGTCGGGAAATCGAGAGATAGACTTAGTAGGGCGGCCCGCATCTGCAACAGGCTCAATGAGGAAGTAAGAGACGTCACGGCCGTTAGGGGTGGCAAAGAGCTAGCTCAGCTGCGCCTAGCTGCAGTACCTATACTTGTATAGAGAGAAGTACGAAGCCGGAGTGTCCATTGTTGGTTAGTATTAAGGGTAAAGCAGCTAGTTTGATGTTACTGGATACTTACTAGGTTAGGTACCTAAGTTGGAATGTTAAATAGTAACTCGTAGTCGACTTATTATTTCCATATATATAGGTATATAATATACACGTGATAGGATAACGCTAGATGGATAGGCAATAATAACAGGCAGGTTAGCCTTTAGAAATTGCGTATAAGGAGATAGCATAAACGGTTATAATGCTGTTGACACTTTGTAAGATTTGTGTAGGTGTAAGAGGTAAAAGTCATCTGCTAAAGTTTAATAAAGTTTAAAAATGCATGTATAGGTACTTGTGACACAGCACCGAGGGCTGCATATTCCGTAGCTCTTACCAATATAAGTGCTAGGGTGACTGTTCCTGCTCTATACTTTTTAATGCTGCCATCAGTATCCTCCAATGAAGAGCCTAGCCGACCTTCTCACCGGTTGCTATACCGGTTCGCCACACGGGCAGCCGGCATGCTTAGGTAACTAAGTGCCTTCCTACATTATACGGTATCGGTTGATAAATGGGGAAGTAAATACTCTACCTACATGTAATAGGTAGTCAAGGGGACTTTCCAATAATGATCCGAGGCGGGAGCTACCGCGCGTAAGAAACGGCAGTTGCCTGCTAGCTATACATGTATTCCGTATATTCAAACGTAACGAATCGTGCCAAGCTTTGGTGCATCCACTACTTAGCATCAGTGTCAACTTCACATACATAGATATGTTATTGCTATAGGACTGCCGCAGGATTGCCGCGTATCAAATATATCGACGATGTGCGTACATATATGTATGTAGAGAATAAATAATGCGAAGCAATAAGCAAGTAACTGCACCCCTGAATGTCACTTGAAGAAGGAGGTTGACTAATTTAGGGACCTAAGCAAGCTACATGTCAGTTTCGGACTTGTTACCAGTTTTAAAGGAGTTTCTCTATTAATCAACCTGGTGTCTAAGCTGACTATCGGGCTGATTTCCTGATCTTCTTGATCCTCCCCGATCTGTACGATGCTCGCTTCCCCGTGCTGCAAGCATCTATACCCGATATCCCTTAAAAAGCACGAGTTGGAGTGTTGGAGGGTTGGAAGATCAGCCGTGGTGGCGTCGAACATCTGCTACGGTAGATTAGGCACCACGGACAGGCAGGTGGGTGTGAACCCCTTAAATTCAAAACCTGTCTAGAAGGCGTGCGGCACTTTATTCTTTACTCGACGTCCAATATCCAATATCCAATATCCAATATCTAATGCAGTCCCAACGCCGTCCAATGTTGTCTCCTCTAGTTTTATACTCCCGGCTCCACCAAGTATGTGGGACAGCATCTTTCCATTCAATCATCACTTACAACGGTAACATGCCGAGGAGAAACATGATGCAACCAGGCCCATCCACGTTCACTCGTACGCACAGGAGCCGTTCCGTGTCCATGGCACGCATTATGCTGACCGCTGCCACGTCTCTTTCTTACTCGCGAGCCTAACTACCGCACACGAGATTTGGCATCCATTCAACAGACCTCATGACAATGTTCTCCGACCCCGGAACCTGGTAGTCTTGAGAAGGTAAATAATTGTCAGGTCCGTAAGT